GCTGTTCATGGATGAAGTTATTTAATCCTCAGGAGGATGCTTGTTGGAGAGCATGGCTATTACCCCCAACTTGAGGAAAGTCAAGCACAGAACAATTACTTGTGCAAGGTTAAGTAGTACATTACTTGGCTCAGTGGGTAAAGAATCATCGGGTAAAGAATCTGCCTGCACTGCAGGAGACACAGGAGACAGGATTTCTATTCCTCCTTCAAGAAGATCTCAAGGAGGAGGAAATGGCAACCCACTCCAGTATTCTTGCTGGGAAGTCCCAATGACAGAGGAGCCTGGTGGGCTAGAGTCTAAAGGGTTTCACAGAGTCAGACATGACTGAGTGACTAAGCATGCACATACTTGTGCAAGATATGCATTATTTATACATATTTTTTCTCTTAATCAGTATTGCTAGTACAAATAAGTGCATGTGCGTGCTACACGTGTGCATGCTAAGTTGCTTCAGTTGTGTCTGACTCTGTGCGACCCTGTGGACTGCAGCCTGCCAGGTTCCTCTGTCTGTGGGATTCTCCAGGCAAGAATACTGGAGTGGATTACCATGCCCTCCTCCTGGGGATCTTTCTATCCAGGGGTCGAACCTGTGTCTCTTAAGTCTACCTGTATTGGCAGAAGGGTTCTCTGCCACTAGCACCACCTGTGAAATCTGAATAACTGCATACTCAAACCAAATGACCACACATAAAGAAGTTTTCATGGTTTCTTTTGGCCTACTAAATTAAATACAAACTCCTCACTCTTGAACTCAAAACTGTTGTAACATTTTAAAATTCATTTTTAGACTTCCGATAGGTTTTTTCAAGCAACTTGAATAAGTTTGTTCCTTCTTAAGCATGCTCCTTACTCCCTCTTCCTATACCACCCTGTCTTAATTTCATGGCGTCTGCTCTCCATAGGGTAGCTTCCAGTCCCTACTGTCAATGGCGGAAACCAAATAATGTGTCCACCTTGTCAAATGCTACTGTCTCAAAACACTGCAGTCAAATGTCACTTTTCCAGGTTGCCCTTTCCCTGTCTCTGCTACAAAGTGTTTTCTGACTGTCCCATGTCGATATCTTCCCTCCTTTCTCCTAGTTCACATAAAACTTTGATTTCTCTCTGTTAGAATGTAATGGGATACAAGGGAAACTGCAAGATAATTCTTTAGTGTTTATTACAATCTGAAGGAGCTGATGAAGATAAAACATTTCAGTTGAGATATCAAACAAGATAAAGTTTTCTTGAAGCAAGTGTAACCTGAAACCTTCAGACCCTGAGAAAAGATGGAAGTACCTTTCTTTTGGTATCAGAAAGTGACTCACTTTGCTGTATACCAGAGAGAAACACAACATTGTAAATCAATTATAATCCAATAAAAACATAAAAAAGTAAACTCAAGGCTTAAAACAACTGAACTGAAATTGATATAAAAATTATATAGGATAAACCACCATACCAGCCTAACTGTTATAGTCCCTACTTTCCTAGTGCCTATAATACTTTCTTGTAATTCTAATTTATAAATGTGGTAGTGTTTTATAAGAGTACATGTTGCTTTGATAGAAACTAATTTTAGACATGCTAATAAGTAAGGGATGTAATAAACAAGGGTAGGTAGTTTTTCTCCTCATAGTAGGGTCCTTGGGGTCTTCCAGGTGGTATAGTGGTAAAGAACCTGCCTGCCAATGCAGGAAACGCAAGAGACATGGGTTCGATCTCTGGTCAGGAAGATCCCATGGAGAACGAAATGGCAACCACTCCAGTATTCTTGCCTGGGAAGTTCCAAAGACAGAGGAGCCTTGCAGGCTTCAGTCCATGGGGTCACAAAATAGTCGGGCATGACAGTGACCCAAGCACACACACACAGTGTGGTCCTTAGACCAACAACAAACATCATCTGGAAGCACAAGGAAATGACCACAATGAGACCACCTGTATTGTACTTGTATTCTTTTTTTACCTTTTTTAAAAAAAAATATGGGTATAACTGTATTGTAAATGTTGTAAAGCAAAGTGAATTAGAATCAATAAAAAAGAAACCCAATCAAAAAATGGGAGGGAGACCTAAATAGACATTTCCCCAAAGTAGACATAGAGATGGCTAATTATTAGAGATAGGCAGAAGAAAACTACAATGAGGTATCACTTCACAGTGGTCAGAATGGCTATCATCAGAAAATCTACTTACATCACTAATTATTAGAGAGATGCAGATGAAAGCTACAATGAGGTACCACCTCACATTGGTCAGAGTGGCCATCAACAGAAAATCTACAAATGTGCTGGAGAGGATGTGGAGAAAAAGGAACCCTCCTACATTGTTGGGGGGAATGCAAAGTGCTACAGCCACTATGGAGAACAGTGTGAAGGTTCCTTAAAAACTAAGAACAGAGTTACCAAATATCCTGCAATCCCACTCCTGGTCACATACCATGCTAAAACCATAATTCAAAATGACACATGTACCTCAATACCCACTGCAGCACTATTTACATACCTCTAATCTTAACAAGAGTTCCACATAATTTATAGAACAAGATAGTGTGAGAACTTTAGAGCCCAGACCACATGCTATATTATTTAATTATTTAGAGTTAGATGAACACTTAATTGGTCAGAAAGCTATATGAAAATATTCCTTCTACACAGTTAGAGATATGGAAGTCATTAAACAGCTAAAAATATACCTAACATGCTTTTGTATTTTTAATCAGTGAATCCTGACTGAGGGGAAATATATCTATTTCAATAATCATTCTATTTATTTGCAATAAAATGATACAAAAATATCTGGATATGGTTATATATGAAAATGGTTTGTTTCTAGTTATAACAACAGCTACATGACTTTAGGCAAGTCATGATCAAATGTATCTGAGGATATTTTCTTCAAATTTAATTTTTTACTTTCTCTATTGATCATGCAGTCATACTTAGCATTGTGTTAGTCAATAGAGGCCATAATTTCTTTATTTTATGTCCACTGGTGTGGTATAGACTAAGTTGTGGGATTTGCAGAATAGTTGGTTGATCTGGGATGCATGCTAGCAGCTCTTTAAGCTTTAATTAATGAATCTCCCCTCCTCACCTCAGTGATTCAACATCAATTCTGTGTTTAAGCTAAGCAATGAAATCATTCCTTAGGCGTTCAAGAACAAACCCTTTTATTTCAGTTCTATTATTTAAATCCATGACTGTGACCTATAGCTTTTAAAGAGAATGAGAGATGATTTCAGATGAGTCATCAAGTATCCAGATTCTATTATATAGTCTTGCTAACAAAATAGCAAGCAGCCAGGATGAGTTTCAATTATTTAGAAAACAAAATGAAAATGCATAATCAGAATAATATCCATAATATGATGGATATTAGTATATCCATATGTCCAATATCCACAATAATATGCATATAGATATAATATATCCATAATATCCAATATCCATAATGATCCCACATTAATTTAAAAATATTTATCTTATATATATATTTCATTTGTCTTTAGTATAATTCTCATCAGTAGTGTAAAACCTGGTAGATTATAATTTCCAAGTGTTCAAAATAGTGACCACTGAGCAGGATCAGGAAGTGTTTCCTCATGAATTTCTCTACTGTTTTATCACGACCCTTTAGTATGAGACACTTGTACAACATAGATCAAAGTGTACAGTTATTATTCAAGAATACTTTAATTGTGTCACAAAGGATTGAGTCTAAGTATCCTTATGTGTGTGCTTAGTCAGTCAGTTGCGTCAGACTCTCTGTGACCCCATGGACTGTAGCCCACCAGGCTCCTCTGTCCAGGGGATACTCCAGGCAAGAGCACTGGAGTGGGTAGCCATTCCCTTCTCCAGGGGTTCTTACCAAGCCAGGTATTGAACCTGGGTCTCCTGCATTGCAGGAGGATTCTTTACTGTGTGAGGTGCCAGGGAAGCCCTAAGTACCCTTATAGAGATGATTTATTTTTAGCATGTGCACTCAGTCACTCAGTCTTATATCACTCTTTGTAACTCCATGGACTGTAGCCTGCCAGGCTTCACTGTCCATGGGATTTCCCAGGCGAGAATATTGAGTGCGTTGCCATTTTCTTCTCCAATTTTTTTTTTTTTAGCTAAACTGACTAAACAAATGATAGTTATTTAGTTACTTTCAGCACAGTTTCTTACATTTGGTATAATTTATTAATGGGCTATTTATCAACATTTTACAAGGTAAACTAAATATATTTTCTTTAATCAAATTGGATGTAACTTGAATTTTAGAAACAATACACATACTTTTAATATGCATATTTGTAACTATTATTAATGTAAAAAATCTTATGTGCTTGCCTTATCTGTTTTGCATAATTTAGATTAAAAATAAAAATCATCAGCTATTAATAAATACTATAAAATATGACAAAATTATTTGTACAAATTGAATAATTACATAGTTTTAGTACTTCAGGAGAATACAGATTTCACTAAAGAAAATGTAACCTGGAGCATTTTTTTTTTTTCTTTTGAGTTCTCCCTGAACTTCATATCTGGCTGAGATTTTGAAATAAAGATGATTTATGGTAAAAATAAGTTTGAGGAAGCCAGCAATATCCAGTCACTTTACAACCCTGCATTACTAAATAAATCAGCACCCTTTATTCTTCAGTGGCTAACAGAGAATCATTTTCATTTTACTTTGCATGTGGAATACACTATTCTCTTCCAAGGTCACTGTTAGTATCAGGCTGTAGATGCATTTGTTAGAGGCTTATCTAAGGTTCATTACTAAGTGACAATCCAAAGCACAATATAAACAACTGTTCTATTTCTTTAGGCTATCAAAATCAAAGAAGGGTTCTTTTCTAGCTCTAGTTACTTAATATTTCAATATGTTATGTTTTCATTTCCAAATAAATCTCATTTAAGTTGAAAACTTTCAGATCTCATAAGCTTATTTCCTGATCTGATGCATAGGGGGAACCCCTTATAGCTGATAGGGCTAGCAAGGGCAGGGTACCATATTATTATCGGTATTATGATGCGGTAAGTGGTTTGTGGAGCAGAAAGTAGTTGAGAATAGGGATGATAAAAGTTTGAGACTGAGTCCTGGCTTTCTCAAGTAAATAAAATTTGGTATGATGATGAGAATCTGTAAAAGAGAAGAGGGAAAACAGCCCAGGAGATAAGAAAAATGAATCAAACAACCCTTCTCAGGGAAGACTTTTAATGACTGAATGAATGGCAATCAGAAGGGCTTAGGGCTCAGAATGCTGCACTGGGAGCCATAATCATGACTGTTCTTAAGAGACAGGTTGGTATCATTATCAGGGGAAAAAGTTATTGGAATACATACTTAATCACTTTTGTTGTCATTTACAGGCTTCTCATTTAAAACTTATTATTTTTAAAACTGCTAATGATGCAACATAATATTGTACTAGCAAAATAAATATGACAGTAGACTATCTCAGTTAATTTGAAGACTTGAAATCACCCTACTGTTTCTGAATATGTGATGCCTGAATCAACTTGTGATCAAAATCATTTTATCTGAGATTGTTACTGTGAACCATCTTATCAAAATAAATTTGATCATGGATTATGTATTGTTTGTTAAAAGCAATGTTTGCTGGTTGTTGTTTAGTCGTTAAGTCATGTCCAACTCTTTTGTGACCCCGTGGATTGCAACCTGCCACCATCCTCTGACTGTGGGATTTCCCAATGGTAGTGTTCCCACAATTTAAATTACAATACCACATAGGGCAATCAATGCTACTGCAGATTTTCAAAACTACACACGCATAGCTTTGCTACAGCCTCTCTTTGGTGGCACTTTATTTTTTTAACAGTTGTATATATCAGAATTGAGGGATATTAGAATAGTCAAATAGTTGAAAAAGTATTGATGGTAGTGAGAGTAGTTTTGCTCTGCATGGCTACAAAAACAGAACTTGTTTTCCATCCCCCCACCGCCCCCTGCACTGGTATTTAAAACCTACCATCCCTTAGCTACTTTGAAAGGATGCCAAGTGTCCAGGATGAGGGGAAATGAAAGTTCAAAAACATTCCAACCCTGCTATTTGAAGGTACTAGTGAAATAACCATATCTACATATATGAGCCAAATTCAATACAATAAAAATATAGAAAAAATTAATGTAATCTTCGGATATTTAAATCACCTACTAAAATACTTTCAGTTTCCTAAAACTGAACGCTACATACCATAGATTTTTTTATTAGAAATATGTCAGTTGACATTTAATGATATTTAATAGGTGTGATACAAATAGAGGTAGTTTAAAAGTTAAATATTGTTAAATCATTTGAAACTGTTGATGATAAAAAAATGATACCTAAAATTTTGGTGGTAAAACTTTGCACATTGAAATATATAAACCCTTCTTGCCTGAAATAAACATTAACCAAAACAGAAAATCAGTTCAAGTGATGGTTAGTAAGATATTTATCAACTTTGAACATATTTATAAATGGAGTAAAATCATTAAATTTACAAGACATAATATTGGCATTATTCCTTGTAACTATATGTAGTTATAAATAAATATATGTCTATATAACATTTTTTAATCAGATATTTTTGAAGTCACAAACTGTGTTCTACTTGTATTTTATAAAGAACAAACATCACTGTGAAGAAGACATAATGGTGTATTTCAAATTCTTAACACAAATGACACCTTGGTAAACTTTCTAGAGCACAATATTTTTAAGACGTTAAGACCGTCTGAAACTATGGCATAACATGCTTTAGTGATATATCAAACCAGCCTAACATAGTTAAACTATTATGGTGCTTTATAAAAATAGAAATGTAACCTACGTTTTGCTACTTGCTGTGTCCCTCTATTCTGCAGGCTATCCACTGTGGGTTCCTAACCACTTATTAAAAATTGAAAGCCAACAGCTATAAGCCCATAGAAACATGACAGGCAACCCACTTGCAACAGATGTGGATTTTTTTACTGTTTGCCTGGAGTTGTTGAAAACCATCTATATCAAATCTCCCCAATTCTGATGGATAGTTGCTTGTACCATACCTGTCCATTTCAGGATTTTAGAGTAAAAAAATTCATTCTTGCCACCTTGACAAGTACGGTTTTGTGAGAAAATTATTAGTAGTTGAATATCCTCTATTGTCTCTACTTCTTGTGTGAAATAAGGCAAAAAGTTATCTATTAATAAATAGCAAGTTCTCAAGCTTATAAATAACTTTAGGAGTGAAAAATTCCTGTAAAAGGCTAATTCCACACACACTCACGTACATACAATTTATAGATTAAGTTTTAACCTAAGCTATTTTTCATAATATTTTTATGCCTTAAAACCCTGCACTGTTCAAATGACAGGGAAATCATGGTACATATAAATACACAGGATCAAATGAAAATTAAAGACTATTTAATATTATCCTAATAGATATGTATCATAATTCCAAAATACAATGGAGGGCATTTTAACTCTTAATGAAAACACATTTTCAATTTTTTTTGTCTTCCCGTTTATGGCATAAACAATACAAGACAGGTAACCAAAAGAAATTAATCTGATAAATTACATTAGTACCAATAAGAAGAACACATATCCTTACTGCTCCTACATGAGTAGAAATGCAATTTTCACTGGGAAATTGTGCTAATACATCAAACAATTTTGTGGTCCTTTGTTCAGTAGCAATCCAGTGTACTAAATCCCAACTATTTACTTTCTATGTTAAATTTATTACTCTTTCTAATAGGAAAACATATTTCTTTATATTGTCTTGATTTTGTACCTCTTCTGGTTTCTATTCCTTTAAACAATGCACTTGTTTTACAAAACAAGATCCTGGAAGGAAGGGGTGTTGATGCTTGAGGCATTGGTAGTATTCTAAATTTACTACACGAGAACTGAAAAGTAAATGAATTCTTCTCCCACCAAAGTCAGGAAAGGACATTTCTAACAGGTACAAAGTTGTCAGAAAAATCACAAAGCCCTTTGTGATTTAGAGGGAGATTTATCAGGGCAGGCTCCAGACAGGCCTGCACAGGTCCAGTTTATTTTATAAAGTAACCCCTGTTGGTATGACCTGAGATAAGTGAACAGTTGAAAGTTAGACTAGATCCCTCATTTTGTATGTAAAGAGAAGGAAAGGAAATTTATTTGGTGATTTTTTTTGGTTGTTATCGGGTCATTCTATCATATGTAATAGTGACTAGTCCAGCAATACCAGAAATGGTTTTCAAACCCATAAAATCAAAATAATGTGAATGATTGGTGAGATTTTTTCAGAAGAACCAAATCATAGGAGTTAAATTCAAGTATTTTCTCACCATAACTAGCCATATATTTAATCAATTTCTTTGTGTTCTGAACATGATGAAAACCTAATAAAATTTATATAATGTCATGATAATACAATACAGTTAGAGAACTTTAATATTCAGCATGGCTCACCCATTCTGGTTTCACTAATATAAATTTAACATTCATCATCCTAGTTATCTTATCTCCTACAGATTATCCCACTTTAAAATGATGAATTCTCAGAACTAATGATCATTCACTCATTTTACTCAGGAAAACTGTAACTTCCATTTAAAGTCATTAGTTAAAAAGAAATAAAAGGCCCAAGAATGCATATCCCAAATAACAAAAAATGGCTTAGTTTTCATTTCCAATTCCTCTTGCCTTTTTCTGAATTCACATCATTATTTCTTTATATTCATAGCAATAGTTCTCCATAATTATATTTCAAAAGCAGTCCTTCAGAAATGGGGTTAGAATCATAAACTTACAGTCTGTGATTTTTAGTGTCCTCTTGACTTCTCCACTTCCTGAACCCCCACAACCATCTTCATCATCACAGTCCCCGCTGACCTGTTCAACCATGCCGCCACCACTGCCCATGTGAAGTTCCCACTTGGTGGGTTTGGGTGACCTACCCTGTAACAACTAAATATGGATACCAAAAACATTAATTAATAGAAAGTTCAAATCATCTAAGGATGCTATTCAACAACATGCAAAACTTAGAATTGCTTTCTTACGTGGACACACTATTTTGATGTGGATACCTTAACAAATCAAGCATGAAAGAAAGAGAAGAAACTACTGACATAATAATAAATAATGGGCAAGGTCTTGCAGCTATGAAAAGCTGCAATCTGCCTATTAACACTGTGAGACAGTTTTGGAAATCAGATAAAACCAGATCTTCTTTCTCATGAATACGTTGGTTAGAGAATCCTCTGTTTCTGAATACACAATGTTAAAAGCAGGGTAAATCAATCTCCAGTACAACAAATCTCCCTCTGAAGAGTATTGGCTGGTAATGTACTGTTTGTTTTACAAACCAACAGTCCAAAATTTCTCAAAAAGAAGACTGCCACTCTTCCAAAAAGACCCAGCGAAAGAAATATAGAATCTTGGACATGTATATTTATAGTTTTATTTAAACTTTATGGATTAAATATGCATACCAATATATATGGAACAGAAGAAAACTATGGAACAAAAGACTTGGGTTCTAATTCCGTTTATACAAATTACTCAAGAAATTCAATGAACCTATTTGTTTCTCAAGGATTTCCCTTACTTTGATGAACAAAATAGATAGAATAGCCATTTCCCCCTATAACATGAGGAAAATAATATTTTGAATAATACTGGACATGCCTGAACTCCTTTTCAAAGAGGTGATGTTGTGAATAATGTAATATTTCACTTAAAGCTAAGACCAAGTAACATGATCTGGTATGTGACCTTTATACCTCTAAAGCATTTTTGGAGGACCCATCACCAAGCATGAGCACTGGAAGGTATTGCCATGTTATGAATGAAACATATTGCAGCTGAATGGTTAATGGGAATTCAAGTTTTCAGGGTGTTTTATAAAAGTATTAGGGATGCTGTTTCTAAAAGCTCTTCATAGATTTCAGATTTTCAATACAGAGATCAATTGTATTGTGTAGCAAAAAATAAACACACAACTCAAGGAGAGCATTTTATACTGAAAAATATAGAGCAAAATATCCTAAGTACATATAAGACAAATATGTTTAGCATTTAAAGAACACTAACATTAAGCAACAACTTTGACAACTGATTAACTTTCAAAATTAAAAAATAAAATTGGGCTACAAATTCTGAAATATTGCAGCTCCCTGAGATTTATTTTCCCTTAGTAAAATGAAACGTTAAAACAGTTTGAAAATAATTTAAAAATTCTAACCAGAATTTATCCTATTGATCAGCACTTCCCAAATGTTAATAGGTGTTACATTTTAAAAGAAAGCTTCTTTCATGGTCAGTGAATTCAGAATTAAGTTAAAGAAAATTTCTTACTGTATTTAATGTACTGGTATGTATGCTACTTCCTGTAGGGAGACAAGGCAATGGGAAAATACAGATTTGTAATAAAATTCAAAAATTTGAAAAAGTAAAGAAAAGATAAAAGACATTATTCTATAAAGATAAAATTTTAATAAGTAGTTTAAAACTAAGTATTAAATTATTAAATAAAATATTAAAAATTTGAATAAATTTCATAAAATAATACCATATATCATTTGTTATTTAGCATAATCATAAAGGGCTGAGATTCAGAGGTCCAACATACTCAGATTTAAATCCTGATCCTGACATATATGAACCATGTGACATTGGGAAAATTCCTGAATAACTCAGTTCAGTCAAAACTAAAATAGAGACAGTAATATACCAGGGTCATTGTTCTTATGTGAGAAAAAAATATATAAAGTATACTGAATGGTGTTTGCACATTAAAAGCTAATGCACTTTGATCATTATTATCTTTGTTATTATACATTCTATTGCAATATTGCTTAAACACTTAGAATTCATTAACTGAAAAATTATTTGAGAAAGATTAAAATTATTCAAAATTGTATCTGAAAAGTACAATAAAAGCTAAACTCTCTGATAAGTGTTATTTCTTTTGCCTCTGACACTTTTTCCCAACATTTCCCATTTCAACTTTATTTCCCTGTTACTTTCCTAAGTATTCTTCCAATATTTTACTGGCTTGGTCAGAAGAAAAAGAAATCTTGTGAACAGCCCTAAGAATGGATAAGTCACCAAAGATCCAACTCAATGAATTTGAACTCAAAAATGCAAACAGTAAGAAAGCACATGTGAAATAAAACTTACTGCTTTAGGTAATTTGTTTGGGTTGAAAGTAATTAAATGCATTATCTATCAGAGAATGGTTAATACATTTATAGTGCTGGTAAAAACAATAGATGACAAGAGAGAAAAACTATTATTTTTAAAACCATTAATATGTTCATTATACTACATTTCTCCATCACTTCAGTGACACTCCAAGAAACATCTAAGACACACAAATTCATATTTTTAAGAAAGAAAACTATATAAAATGTATTTTAATTTAAACTATCTGTGGTGCAGCAGAATTATAAAATGGGCCCTAAGCCTTCTCACTTGAATCCCTGGGGCTGCACATATGTCACTGTCACATCCACTATATTACATGGCAATAGGATTTCCACAAATGATCAATTCATTCAAACATATCCATGATCCCATCTGATCTATGCTGCAGGTCCCCATGATCCCATCTCTTTCTGGAAGAGCCAGCACCTCCATCTCCATCATTTCTGCATAAAAATTCTACTTTATATGTTCATTTCCTTCTTCTAAATCATAAGCAACCACAAACATTCATTTTGATTCTCACAATTGTAATAAAACTTAATTTGTGAAAATCCCCAATCAATAACTAATCAACAAAAACAATCAGCTTTTCACAGTAAGACCCTTATTGAAAATCCCACTTCTTCATGACTAAACTATTCTAATTTCTTAGTTTGATCATCTTTTTCCTCACATTTCCAAAATAATAAAAATAAATGTTCAGTTAATACTGTACATCCCCTTTTAGTCTTTTAAGACTATTTCAGGGAAGCCATCCTAACAGATTGCATTCTCATCTGTGTATAGATCATACTTAATTCTTTATTTGCAACTCCTGTTACTCCTCAGTTCACCACTAAGCAACAGTTAGATATAAAAGGTACTGTATTATTTTGTATCTTAAAATAGAACTATTCACTTCCACTATTCATGTGTCACTACATCTTATCTCTCCAACTCCCTCACTGTGAGGGACATTGATCTCTCCTGCCTACTCAGTTCAGTTCAGTTCAGTCGCTCAGTCGTGTCCGACTCTTTGCGACCCCATGAATCGCAGCACACCAGGCCTCCCTGTCCATCACAAACTCCCAGAGTTTACTCAAACTCATGCCCATCCAGTCGGTGATGCTATCCAGCCATCTCATCCTCTGTTGTCCCCTTCTCCTCCTGCCCCCAATCCCTCCCAGCATCAGGGTCTTTTCCAATGAGTCAACTCATCACATGCGGTGGCCAAAGTACTGAAGTTTTGGCTTCAGCATCAGTCTTTCCAATGAACACCCAGGACTTATCTCCTTCAGGATGGACTGGTTGGATCTCCTTGCAGTCCAAGGGACTCTCAAGAGTCTTCTCCAACACCACAGTTCAAAAGCATTAATTCTTCGGTGCTCAGCTTTCTTCATAGTCCAACTCTCACATACATACATGACCACTGGAAAAACCATAGCCTTGACTAGACAGACCTTTGTTGGCAAAGTAATGTCTGCTTTTTAATATGCTATCTAGGTTGGTCATAACTTTCCTTCCAAGGAGTAAGCGTCTTTTAATTTCATGGCTGCAGTCATCATCTGCAGTCATTTTGGAGCCCCCAAAAATAAAGTCTGGCACTGGTTCCACTGTCTCCCCATCTATTTCCCATGAGGTGATGGGACTGGATGCCATGATCTTAGTTTTTTGAATGTTGAGCTTTAAGCCAAATTTTTCACTTTCCTGTCACTTTCATCAAGAGGCTTTTTAGTTACTCTTCACTTTCTGCCGTAAGGGTGGTGTCATCTGCACATCTGAGGTTATTGATATTTCTCCCGGCAATCTTAATTCCAGCTTGTGCTTCTTCCAGCCCAGCATTTCTCATGATGTACTCTGCATATCAGTTAAATAAGCAGGCTGATAATATACAGCCTTGACATACTCCTTTTCCTATTTGGAACCAGTCTGTTGTTCCATGTTCAGCTCTAACTGTTGCTTCCTGACCTGCATACAGGTTTCTCAAGAAGCAGGTCAGGTGGTCTGGTATTCCCATCTCCTTCAGATTTTCTACAGTTTATTGTGATCCACACAGTCAAAGGATTTGGCGTAGTCAATAAAGCAGAAATAGATGTTTTTCTGGAACTCTCTTGCTTTTTTGATGATCCAGCAGATGTTGGCAATTTGATTTCTGGTTCCTCTGCCTTTTCTAAAACCAGCTTGAACATCTGGAAGTTCTCGGCTCATGTACTGCTGAAGCCTGGCTTGGAGAATTTTGAGCATTACTTTACTAGCGTGTGAGATGAGTGCAATTGTGCAGTAGTTTGAGCACTCTTTGGGATTGCCTTTCTAAGGGACTGGAATGAAAACAGACCTTTTCCAGTCCTATGGCCACTGCTGAGTTTTCCAAATTTGCTGGCATATTGAGTGCAGCACTTTCATAGTATCATCTTTCAGGATTTGAAATAGCTCAACTGGAATTCCATCACCTCCACTAGCTTTGTTCGTAGTGATGCTTTCTAAGGCCCACTTGACTTCACATTCCAGGATGTCTGGCTCTAGGTGAGTGATCACACCATTGTGATTATCTGGGTCATGAAGATCTTTTTGGTACAGTTCATTTCCCTTAAATCAGTACTTTCACCATGCCATTTCTCTGCCTTACAACTTTCTGTGACTCTATAGTGTCAAAACGCACTGGTGTCAAAATATCAGTCTAGCTAGATGAGCCACAGAAAGAAGTCTTATGATAAAATGTTTGGGAAATGCATATCAAGTCCCCTTCATGATATCTATGAACTAGAGGCTCATAAGGA